AAAACGTCCCTCTGAAGTTTTGCTTTTCCAAGGGCTGAATTTATGGGGTTTTTTTGTCCATTTCAAATTATTCTGTTATGGCTGTTGGGTTTTTAACTCTGAAAATTGGCAGTGAAGTGGCAAAAAGCACTAAGTTGAAAGGTGGAGAGATGGGGCTTTCCTCCTCTGTTTGTTTTCTAAACAAGGTTAAGATAAATTAGTGAAAATAGTGAGAAAACCTGATGTTTTCTGATGGGTAGGGGAAGAAGCCCAAATTACCATTTTACACCTACCATTTTTTCTTCTTGTCTTCTCCTTAGAGCCAGGCACTGAAGAAGTAAAAAAGCTCCTCCTGCTTTTACTTGGTTGTGCAGTTCAGGTGGGTTTAATTATGTTTACATCTGTATGGAATTGTTTCAGTTGTTCCTGATCTCTTCTCTTACTATTTTAATACCTCAGGTGGTGTAAAACTTAGTCCTCCCTTCCTCCAGTGGGACTAAAATCTGAATATTCTGACAGTTAAAATGGCTACAACCTCTTAGTGCACAAAACATGGAATTTCTGATAGTTTATTCATTTCAATAGTGTTCATTTACCTGACGCTGTAAAGAAAGGAAGAAAATAGTAAACTACTGAAGAATTATCTTGCTGATACATCTTACTGCATCTACTTAATGTATTTAATAAATACACTAGCATAAAATTTGAATAAGGAGCTATTTTAAGAAAACTCTTCCTTGCCCCATTTCAACCTGTTTTTTCTTTATCATTAAATTAGTGTTGAAAAGTTATAATTACTGTAGCATGATATAAACCAAGGGTTTTATTGGTCAGCAGAATGACTGAATAATAATTCAGCCATGTGATCATTGCAATGGCAACTTTGTAAGTTTTAAATCTTAGAGATATAAAAGAGGAATGGAAATACTTATGCTGATACATATATAAAATAGGTGTCTTTGTTTTTAGTGTCAGAAAAAAGAAGAATTTATCGAAAGAATCCAAGGCCTGGATTTTGACACCAGAGCAGCTGTCGCAGCCCATATTCAGGAGGTACATTGGGGGATTTTTTGTGCTTTTAATTTGGTTTTTTTTGAGGTGTAATGCTGTGCTGTAAGAAGATGAATTGCATTTGTTCAAAAGCAAACGTGTTGGTTTTAGTGAGCAGGAAAAAGTCTTTGTTTTTTCACTTGATTCACAAAAAGATTTCGTGACGGAGCATTTTTGGGTTACACCGTTAAAGCAGTACCAGGGAGCAAATCTGTTGCTTCAAGGCATTCTTAAGAGTTACAGCAAATTCAGTTTAATGACATTTTCCTATGCAGATTTATTTATAAAATATAATCCCAGTCCTACCTTTGTGATGTCTAATATGTCATGGTCATGGTCTAATATGTCTGGCTTTTTGTTTTGCCAGAGGTCCAAGGGGCTGCTCTCAGGCAGACAAAAACTCTTCCATTACATACAATTTAATCTATTCAATGAATATATTAATATTTTCCTACCTTGCCTAGAGGATTTAACCCCCAGGGTTGCAGCTTTATTTTCTTTGTGCTCCCTTCCTAATCTGACAAGTCCCAGAGGATGTTTTTTCTCTCGTGTAGGTGACTCACAACCAGGAGAACGTGTTTGATCTGCAGTGGATGGATGTCATTGTGCTGACACAGGAGTATGTTGAACCTCTCTTGAAAAACATGGCCCTGCATTTGAAAAGACTTATAGATGAGAGAGATGAGCACTCAGAGGTACGGGTTGGGCTTGGGAAGGGAAATACAAGGCCAGGATTATCATTGCTGTACTGTGTGAGAGTCAAGAAACAAAAATGTCTTTAATAACCTTTACAAGTTCTGAACCATCTCGGTGGTGCCAGGTTTGCCCCTCAGTGGAGTGTGGCTGTGCCAATGTTGCAGTTATTCCAGATATTCCTTGGACGGGCAGCAACTGCTTTTCCTGCTCACAGCCTTGACAGGAGTCAAACAGAGGGCAGAGGGTGTGTGGTGATGCTTTTTTTGCAAAGGAAAGGAAAAATAGCTTTAAAACACAAGAGATCTTCGTGTTTGGATAACACCCTTATTTATCTGAGGAAATAGGGATATGCCTGTGGGTCTGTTGCTTCCCTCAGCTGGCTGGGATGCTGCTGCTCACCAGAGAGCATCTTTGGAGACACACATTTATCCTCATGTCCCAGGAATTCTTGCCTTTCACTACCCAATCCATCCTGAGCAATGAGAATGTTGTGCACTTAAAAGTCAAAATTTCCAGTTAAAGGAGCCAAATGGTCCAATTAAACACCTGTGGCTCTTTGCTTTTTGGGTGTAGGGCTGCAAGCAGGGCTTCAAACTTCCTTAGGGGTGTGCTGGTTTAAAGGTAAACCTGCAGGGGAAATGAACCCAACTCAAAAGAGAGATTATAAGTCAGAAGAACAATTTAATAAAATAATATAATAAGTACGATTGTACAGACAAACAGTTGGTTTTAACCCACAAAACCCAAATGTCTAACCCAGCACCCTGGGGCATGAACAGAGTGGGGTTCGTTGGGCCCCCTGAGTCCAAAGTAAAAGGAGAGGGGAAAACCTGTTGGTGAGAGTGCTGGTGCAGTCTGGGCAAGAGTGGTGGTTGCAGTCTGGTTGAGAGTGGTGGTCTCAGTCCTTCTCTGGATCCCACAGGTGGTTAAAAAAAGTCCCAAGACCCCAAGATTCTCTCTCCTCCAGTTGAGGCAGGAATGCCCAGTGCCTCCCTCAGGGCGGGGAGTTCCACACTGGGTGTGAGGACAGGAGCACCCTCCTGTCTCA